TTTAAAATAGTTATTTCCCACTTGTTCCGATTTGTACATCACAATCGGTGAGTTTAGGAGGTGAAAACTCTGGTCAGAAGAGAGGAATTTGTTGATCAAATTTCTATTATTAATAATGAGGGTGAAATGTTGATTTGCCATATGATTAACTTGAAAAAATAAAGGTACTCAGATTATGTCATCTATTTAACTATTTACAATATTATATTTGTAGCTTTTTCAGTAATGAATACTTTTTATCATCGTCTACAAAATATTATGTAAAATGTAAATATAAATATAAAACATTGTGTACAAATTGTAAATGCAAAATTTCACCCTAAAACCAATCGTTAGTCACATGGTGGGTCAGCCCTTGATTAACTTTGATTTTTTTTTCCCAGGCTTAGTTCAAGGTACCAACACTTCAAGAAAGTCGCAAGATTAGTTTGCTTTATAAAGAAAAAACTTCAAGTTTGGACTTTGGTGTAACCAGCTTTAAAATTTATATTCTCAATGTAGATACAATTTATAACTTTGTTTATAAATTCAGTTAAAATCAAACATAAATTTCAACAACACATTCATAACTAAGAATTAAGCCATGCCTAAAGGACTTAATTTCACAATGCCCCTCACTGTAGCACAGGGCTCCACCCCAATGTATTAAAAAAAAAATGTGGCCTCCACTCCCCATGTGTGTTACCTGGCAGGGACCTGTCTGTAAGTGTAGCACTACTCCATAACTAATACTACACACACTCGTGAGTGCTAATCCTATTTATAAATTTGCCAGAGGCTTACGACATGATGCTTTTTTTCACTCCATCTATGTCAATTGATTTTTGAAAGCAAAGCTTAAAAGCATGTTTGGAAATTGATTATAATCAGTTTCAACTTTCAATTATAGACAGGAGAAAATCGAAATCAACGGTACTTGTAAGTTCTACAAAATATGTGAATAAAAAGAAAGTGTGACCAAGATATCTTTAATATAAATACATATCAAATAAGTGCTAAATATATCTTCAGTGCTTATAAATCATGAATCCTACAAAATTTGTGAATCCTACTAAATTTACAAATAAAAAATATATTTGATTAGATTAAAAAAAATAACTTTCCCAAAATGGACGTAACAATTCTTTTTTTTTTTTTTCCCTCGATCTGGATCAAGCAATGCAATTGAGATTCTCAATCCCAGTAAAGATTTTTTTTTTTTTTTTTTTTTTCTAACTTCTCAATCCCAGTGGAAAAATGTTTTATTTTATTTTGATGTTGAAGATGAATAAACAGATATAAATAGCTAAAAATATTTCAATGACCATGTCATGAATTGCAAGACCTATCTACCCAGATTGAGAAAATGTAAAGGTCAAATATTTGGCATACCAACTCGCCCATGTGACCCTTTTAACTTGCCTATTCAACAGAAGCATATGTATGTGATATTTTCCAAGATAACANGAAAAAGAGATAAAAAGGGACTCTACGTCCCATATCCATCGAGTGTAGCTATACAACCTTGAGGAGAGAGGTCAGAAGTTTGAAATTGTCCACGACATAATAATTTTGTGTCGTAAGGAACTTTAAATTGTGCCCTAATTTCATCCAAATTTGTTCCATGAGATTGGTAAAAATTTTCGAAGCTTCAAAAATCTCCTCGTCACTCTCACTAGGACACTCGATGGCTCGCACACCTCATAACGTATCTCCACCCTAGATTGGGAATTACCCATTTTGCCTAAGACGTCTTGACACACATGTACCATAATAAGTAACTGCCAAGTAAGAGAGCACCTTAGTATGCAGCACTTCTACAGAGGAGGAAAAAGCACTAGTGGAATCATCCATATGCCTAAAACTCTCAGTATCATAATCTTAACATGTATTCTGATAATCACTTTGGGAACACATTACAAAAAGGCTAAAAGGAATAAAGCTTAAAAGAAAGATGAAGAAAGAACACGTAGCTAGACAAGGATTTCGAAGAAGGCAAAGAATATAATCACACACAGCAAACAAGCCCATTAGCGCGCATATAAAGCAGCGAAAATCTCAAACATGTTCTCCCAACGTAACTTATGTCATATTTGACACGCAAGGAAGTATTTGATCGGTTAAAGCCATTAGTAAATTCGCAGTTCCATAACCATATGTAGTTAAGTCCTAGATTTAGTATGAATAATGAAATCGAACTTTGTTGACACACAAATTATTCAGCTCAATTCAAATGGCCCAAGAGAGGTAATGGCCCAAGAAAAGAAGCCCATCCAGAGAGATCAGGGTAAAAGTCCAAC